GCTCCACAGCTTCAGATCCAGACGACTCTGTGGCGTCACATTACTGCAAAACGGCATGAAAAATACATCAGCTACAAATGCTTCTGCTTACAGCAGCTGCATTTTATTATTGCATCCTGCTCCTCATCGTCTTTAGCGACGGTACGCAAGTTCTACCTCAGAAGAAATGTTTTTAAATAAGCTGACGGGAAACACCTACAAAATCTCGATTAAATTTTATCTGTTAGAGCACTACCACGACAGCAGTACAGTCCAAACACTGTCAGATGCATGCAGTTAATTTAATGTTCTATTGAATTGTTTTAACAATAAAACCCCGGCTCTCATGAGAGCCCGAGTGTGTGTGGTGCTCACTCACAGGGTGAGGTCTTCGTTCCACTGCAGCTCAAGGTGCCCGCTACGTTTGCCTGTTTTTTTGGTTTCACTGGTGAGGCCGTCTGCAGTCACCTCAACGAAGGAGCTCAGCCGAGAGTGCCGGTTCGGCAGCTTTGGGGACTGGGGCTTCGCCGACACCACTGCGAACACACACACACATATAAAGCATGTAACGCAGTGGAAGAACACATCTGTGGTTGTGACAAAACCTCTGCCAGCAGTGCAGCAGTGCTGTCATTTATGGCAACAAAGGACAATAAATGTTAACAAAAGAGAAGCATTTCTTTTTTTCCGTTGACGTTTAACTGACTGCAGCTCTGATAAGAAAGAGAGTCGGAGCTGATCAGATCCTCACGTGGAAAACGACCGTCTAATCACACTAAAGAATTTTAGTTCAGAATCAGAACACTTTATCAATCCCTGCAGAAATTATGTGGTCACAGTTACTCCAAGACAGCAAGAACAGCAACTACCTAAATTATATTAAATAATAAAATATATTACAAAGTTACAAGATGTAACAAAAATACCTTACAAATAGTTCTAATATTATAATAATAGTTCTAATAAACAAATATTCCAGTACTAAATATGACACTGAGACGACCTTCTTATTATACCGACATCCTCTGTAAAGGATGTTCAGATCGTTAGTGTGTGTGCACTGTATTACGATGGAGGAACTGAACAACAGGAATGACTTCCTGTGTCGTTCGGTGATGCATCTGCCTCACTGAACAGCTCCTGTGACTCGCCAACAGTGGGTGAGCGGGATCGTCCAGCATTGTCCTTTTCTTGGACAACATCCGCCTCTCCGACAACACCTTAAAGGAGTCCAGCTCCATCTCCACAATGTTACTGCCCTCGTGGATCAGTTCATTGAGCCCGTTAGCATCCGTGACCCTCAGCCTGCTGTCCCAGCATGCAACAGCATAGAGGATGGCACTAGCCACAACAGACTCATGTAAAATCCCGAGCGTGTCCAACAGATGAGAAAAGGCCCCAGAAAATACAGACGCCTCTGACCCTTCCTGTAGAGTGCAGTGGCGTTTTTATTGTCAAGGCAACACCCTTCTTTTTAAATCAGACTGACTGGTGATTGTATATATGCAGTTTCTTCATCCAGGTGACCATGGTAACTAACGCTAATGCAGCAATGCTTCCAAAATAACTGGCCAAATAAGTCTTTGTAGGAGTGTTAAGATGGCTGCCAAGAGGCGATGTGTACGTATAGGATTCTGGAACAATCCTGATTTTTATGAGATTATTACATAATGAATAGAAAACAATGTGAAGCAGCGCGCTGTACACTACCGTTCTGGTTCTCAGCGGTGCTGGAGTTAAAAGTTAAATAAGTGGTTCAGTAAATTGGACAAATGTTACAGCGTACTGCAACACCCTAACAGAAACTCCTTGGCCTGTGTGTACTCCTGCATGTATACTGGCTGTTGTGAGTATTTTGTTACACGCTGTGTGTCACGGCCTGTTCAGGATGGATTTGAAGTACACGGAGTGTATCAGACAAATACAAACTTTGCCCCCTAGTGGAAGATAGGAAAACACCTTCAGTGTCATTTTCATTTATTTAATTTTTATTTATTTAATAAAATGTATTTAATTTATTTAATTTTGGGGGAAAAGAATTGACTGACCACAATAAAGCCTTCATTTAAAAAAAAAAATCCAGCCAAGGAACCAGTGCAAAGTTCACTGGGGGAACATTGCACTGGTTACTTATGCTCCATTTAAGGTGGAATGAGTATTTGAAAGTAAAGAAACTTTTTGCATTTACTGATTTCAAGCGTTTTTTTTCCTCTTTTTTTAATTTTTTATTTGGAGTGAGGTAAAAGTGTACATCCGGACATTGGCGAGCTCAGAGGCTTGGAATTCTTGCAGGCCTGCTGAGATTCTTGCTATCGCATGTATCGGTCCTCAGAGGAGCTGATTTCTTCACACTGAATCACAAAATCACAAGATTGCAAACTGAAGAACATGCTGACTAGCAG